AAATGGAAAATATTTCTTAAAGCAATGATTGTCAAGATTTAGAAATATTCAATTCATCGTGAATCATAACACATGGTTTCCTGGTTCTCATCACCAGCCTTTTAAAATGTAACTTGTACAAAAAATTTGTATGACTATTATATTTCCAGGAGATGCATCTGTTCTTTATATATAAACTATTTATTCACTTAATTTTCACCTTATCATTTCCATCAATCCAGGGGATATGGAACCCATAAACCAAACATCTGTCTCAGAATTCCTTCTGCTGGGACTAACAGATGAATTTCAAATATCATGGTGTCACCAGCATGCTTTTCTCATACATCCTTGTGTTATGCTACTTCTCCAATATATTGTTTAATCTACTCACCAATTCTTTTCAACAAATCAAGTATACATAGGAGCTAGAAATAAAAAACAACTGTCTCAGAATTCCTTCTGCCAGGACAGAGAGATGATCCAGAGCTGCGGCCCCACATCTTTAGCCTGTTCCTAGCCATGTACCTGGTTACCACTATAGGAAACCTGCTCATTATCCTCACTGTCAGCTCTGACTACTACCTGCACACTCCCAAGTACTTATTTTCGAACCTGTCCTTCACTGACATTTGTGTAAACACTAGCAGGATCCTAAAGATGCTGGTGAACATCTCAACACAGAGTAAGAGTTTCTCTTACACAAGCTGCTTCACCCATCATTTTTCTCTTAATTTTTGCATACCAGGAAAATTTTCTCCTTGCAGTGATGGCCTATGACCACTATTGGATATTTGTCAGCCACTGAGGTACACAGTCATCATAAGCCCCTACCTCTGATTCCTACATGTATTGCTCTTTTTGTTGGTTAGTCATGGGAATATCCAGATCCCCAGTCTGATGATGTTGCTGCTGTCCTTATGTACAGGCCTGCAAATCCCTCACTTCTTCTGTGAACTTGCTCAGATCATCAAGCTCACCTGTTTTTATTTAATTAAGTTTATTGGTATATTTTAGGTATATAATATAATGACATTCCCCATTGGAAATTTGCACCTTTACATAATCTCTCTTGTTTTATTTTTTCCACATTCCCCTGCACTCCCTTCAACCCCTCCATCTCTCCTTATTTAAAAAGACTTTGTTTTCACTTTTTTTGTTTTCTCATATTAATGGTATTACCTTCTTTATTTCCCTTACTCCTCCCACTTCCCCTTCCTCTTTGCCCCTTTTTTTCCTATTTCATGTTATTTATTATACATTTTAGCCCTTATTCACACTTTCAGTTTCTCACACTAGATAAACTATTTGATATTTACACATATGTGTCCTATTTATTTCATTTAAGAGTATCACCTCAATATGCATCCATTTAGCTATTAATGTCTCCAATTTCTCATTTTTATGGCTGAGTAGTACTCCCTTTTATTAGAAAGCAACATTTTATTTATCTAGTATTCAGTTGATGGGCAGTTGGGTTGCTTCCAAGTTTTAGCTATTACAAATTTTGTTGTTATGAACATGGGTGCAAATATATCACTGTGGTATGATTCTTTTAATTCTTTGAAGAAGATATGCAGCAGAGGAAAGCTGGGTCAGGTGGGACTTCCAGTCCTAATTCTCTGAGGTACCTCATATGGATTTCCACAGCAGTTACACAAGTCTATACTCCCACTAGCAGTGGAGCAGTATTCCTCTTTCCACACAGCCCCAACAGCATTTGTTATTGATTTATTTCATGATAGCAGCCATTCTTTCTGGGGTGAGGTGGAATATCAGCATTGTTTTCATTTTCATCTCTCAAATGACAAATGATGTTGACCATTTTTTTGTATGATTATTTACTATTTCTTCTTTTTGTCCGACAAATATCTGTTCATTTCAGATGACCATTTTTGGATTTGGTCTTTAAATTTGGGAGGTCTGATTTTTTCAAATTCTTTATAGATTCTAGATGGAAGACTTCTGTCTGAAGAAAAAGGTCGCATTTAACCTAGTTATTCTCCTGCTGGGTATCTTTCCATAAGAATTAAAAGAATCATACCACAGTGACATAAAGTGCACCATGTTTGCAGCAGCACAGTTTGTAATAGTTACATCTTGGAAATAACCCAAATGCCCATCAACTGGTGATTGAATAAAGAAGATGTGGTGGTTTTTTTTAATAAAAAGGAATACTATTTAGCCATAAAGAATGATAATGTATAGACATAAATAGCTAAATGGATGCACATTGAGGCCATACTCTTAAGTGAAATAGGACACACATGTTTAAATACTGAAAAGTTTCTCTGCTGTGAGAAACTAAAAGTGTAAATTAGCACCAAAATATATTATAGATATTGTGAAATATGAAGAAAATGTTCAAAGGGGAAGGAAAACCAGGGAGTGGGAGTGTGTGGAAAGGAAAGAAGAGAAAGAAAAATGAGAAAGAAGGAAAAAATGGAAAGAAAGCTTTTGTAAATAGGAAGAGGTGAAGTGTTTGAAGGGAGTGAAGGTGAATGTGAAAAAATAAGTACCAAACTATATCATATAAAGGTACAAATTTCCAATGATGAATGTCATCATATTGTATTCCTAAAAGGTTGTAATGAATTTAATGCATTATAAAAGAGTATGGCAATGTTGTTATATACAGTGTATGATACTGATAATGATAGTGAACATCTTTGTTTCTGGCTGGTATATATACTGTAGTACCCACATTATTGCTGTTTCAGAAAGTACTCCTATTTGTAAGTTTACCATAATCTACAATGCCATATCACACTGACAGCAGTCTCATACACCTGCTGTGTTGGTCATCTCTTGCATCATTTTTCTTATCTGTGACCAACACATAGATGTATACATATTTTGTTTTAATTTTTGTTTGTTTGGTTAGTTTTATTTCTTTTTTCTTTTTTTATTTTTTGAGACAGGGTCCTGCTATGTAGTCCAGGCTGGTCTTGAACTCACTACTTGTAGCTGAGGCTAGCCTTGAACTCATGGAAAACATCCTGCCTCAGCCTCCTGAGTTCTGAGATTACAAGCATGCACGTCCATGACTGGCTTGTTTGGGTTTTCCAGGCAGATTTTCACTACTTAGCTCAGGCTACCTTGAACTTTGTATGTACCTCAGAGTGACCTTGACTTATCTATCCTCCTGCCTCAGCCTCCTCAGTGCTGAGAATACAGGTCTGTGCCATCACACTTGGCTTTGGTTTTTTTCAATTTTTTTAAATTTTAATTTTGAACTAAATTTTTACTGCAGAAAGGTTGCAGAATTTGTGCAGAGGGTTGCTGTCTATATAGTGCTAGACATAGTCAAATGTTGACTTGTTTATGGTTAGTGTTTTTTTGTCACCACTCTAAGAATGGTTTTAGACAGGGTCTTGTTATGTGCCTTGAATTTGAACTCATGGTGATCCTCCTGCCTCAACCTCCTTAGCGCTGGTATTTGAGACATGAGTCAACACACCCAGCAAGTGTACATTTAAATCTGCTTTTCAGGAAATCCCTGAAAACTTCTCCATGTAATCAGTGAATAGTTTTTCATCATCTCTCTGCTGTGAGAGCTCCAGCCTCATTCATGAAGGGACTTTAATTTCAAAAAGACAGCACTTCTGAAAGTGTCAGTTTGGACTTGGTCCCCTGATTCGTCCCTGATTCTGTCTGGGGTCCCCTGGGGCCCTGGTTCTCTAGTGCTTTAGTGATCATATTAAGCTGGGATGTTATTTTAGAAGAATCCCTGAGCCCCCTAGAGGTCAGACCCTAAGATCCCAGACTGAGCCCTCCCAGAGATAAGGGGAAATGCAGTAGGAAAAGAATGACATGTGCTTTGGCTCTCGGGGTCAGGACATCACTGATGGTACTGTGTGCCTTGAAGATTTGAGCTGCCTTGGGGAATAGATGCCCCTGCACCTTTGGTTAGAGAGGAGCTTTGAAAATAGGACCCTCAGGTCCACTGAGACTGCAAATAGTCACTATAAAACCACTGTATCTGTAGCCTTGCTCAGGTCAGAAAACACACACTGGGGCCTCCATCCAGATATGATACCTCTTTTCTGGAGTTTGTTGTCCATTGTCTCATCTGGGGCAACTTCTGCTTCCATTTTTCAATATTCAGAGAGTAAATGGACAATTCCTTTTTAGCATCTTCAAGGTAATCTGACATTTGAGCAATAAATGCTAGGAAGTATTGAAAAGTCTTTCCCTTCCTTCCTTTTCGTTTCTCTCTTTGTCCATTTCTTTTTCTTTCTCCATCACTCCTTCTCTTCCATGTCCTTCTTCCTCCTTTCCCTCCCTTTCTCTACCCATCCCTCTTTGTGTGTTTTTTTTGAGACATTATGAGATAAGAGAAAGTTCAGTTGGTTCAAGGTAAAAATGACACTCCAAACTAATTTGTGACCCTCTTAAGGTATTTACTTCTTCATTTTCACATACTTTCCAATAAACTCTCATTTTTTTCATCTCTTGTATAGTTTTATTAGTAAAAATGACAAGCCCAAACTATACACAGTCCTGCTTTGCTCAGCTCTGACACTTGATGCCTAAGGTGAACCTGATCTGTCACTCTTGCTTCCTTTCTCTTTACCTGTCTCCCTCAACTTCTCTCCTAAGGATCCAGGGTTGTGCACTAGTAAAAATGAAACTGATGGGAACAGTCATTTCTGTTCCTATGAGTAGATACTTTTCGTTGACTTCTTTCTCCTCTCTGGCACATCACTGCACATTTTTAAGGCAGTTCCTGTTATACAAGTGAGAAAACTGAGTCTGCTTAGAAAGCTTCAGGGATCTCATGAGCCACAGATCCAGGACACAATAGCCAAATCTGTGATTGGATCTGTAACTCTTCAAATCCCTGCCTTATACCTGGATGGTTGATGTTTTTATAGTCATTTGTATTTCAACAGGGGAAGTCTTCTCTTGTTCAGAGACAAAGTGTATGAAGCAGGAAGCCCATGTTAGGTGAGTTCATTGCATCACTGAACAGCACACATGCTGTGATTCTGCATTTTATGCTGGCTCTTCAGACACTGTTAGCAGAAATTCCTTAAGAAATGGTGTTGTGACATTGCCAGCACATGCCAATTCATTTTTTCTTTTTCTTTAAGTAATTCTGGCCCTTCTCCAGGGATCAATAGTACATTATTTCCATTTAGCAAACTCTTATCTAATCTAGAAATATTTCTTCTGGTCTGATTTTAATATCTTAATCTTCCAGGGCCACATGAAAAACTCATCAAATTGTAGAAGTATGCCAATAGTTTCCTTATCAATCCTCATCAGAGTGTAAATTCTTGGCCCTATAAATTTGTTCATAAGCTCTGGAAGAAAGAACTGTAATGGGTAGGTATAGCATTAACTACAAAGTAGAGATTAATTTGAGAAAATAAGCTGTAATGAAGTGAAATATGTCAAATGCCTTTAAATTCCGAGTTTCTTAATGATATGATGCTTGTCTTTGAGTAATACTAGAAACAAATTGGTTATTTTTATTATGGATTTTAGATTGACATATAGTAATTGTATTCCCCTTATTGATAAAATCAGTGATAATGTATGATAAGTATAAATATTTTAAATTTGTTCTTGTAATAAATTATTATTATTATTACTTATGGAACTCAGGACCTTGCACATATCAGGCAAGAGCTCCACTGATACCCACACATCAGCATCATCCGGGTTGGGGTGCTGCTCTGTGTTTTGTGGAAACCTTGCCTCTTGGATTCTCCCCAAGAAGATTTGAGAGGAGGTCCACAGAAAGAGACTCATCAACAGCAAGTAGTTGTGTTTAGCAAGCATGTGTGTCGAAGGACAAACAGTGCATGCCAAACAAGGCTAACTTTTATGAGTAAGATTGCACACTTGGGAGAGTTGTAGGTGGTCAGATCTTGAGACAGCAACTTTCAGTAATGAAATTAGACCCTCACGAAGGGTGAGGTTGAGGGCTCAGCACCAAAGATGGCAACTGCAGAGAGTGGACAGCTTCTTTCTTTTGATTTCCTAGATTTTGGAGAAGTTGTCAGAGGTGACAATTAACAGGGCTTCTTTCCTTAAACTGTGAGTCAACATCTTTATGTCATGAAAGGAGGCTTTTGAACTCATGCAGATTTGGTCAGAGCAGTATGGTGGATAAAGCCCATGTAGGGAGGTAAACTACAATACAAATGCATGGACATAAAGTTTCATTGGGCTGACAGGGTGACTACAGTTTAAATTGGGGTCTGTGCCTCTAGCGTCATACTGTGTAGAAATTAAATGTGTAAGACTGACTAGGAAAGGGAATGCACAAAGTGGGTTTGATGTGCTCATCTCAGGAAGCCCGTGGAATAGAAACTCAGGAAATCTAGACCATGTCCTTTCTTAGAATTTTCTTCTGTAGTCCTGCTGTCATGTCCCCATTTCCACCCCTGTCTAACTACCAACTGTATCAATATCACTGAGCTATGTGCCCAAACACATGAAGGAATGGCTCTGCACCAATAAACCTTTAGTCACAAAAATATAAAACAGGAAGGGTTTGCCTCCAAAACTGTGTTTTCCAAAACTTTACTCATTAAAACTTTTATTCTAAAATGATTTGGCTGAAGACATCTTAAAGGACAGAGTAATTCATATAGCTTGGCTCTGGCATGCCCCAGAACAACCAAGTACTGAAGGTTTGGTCCCCAGCTGAGTGCTGTTGGATAGTGTTGGAGTCTTTGAAAGGTACGACCTCCTTGGAGCCAAGAAGGGCACTTGCGGCTGCCCTACATGGGATTTTAGGACCCTGGTTTCTTCCTGTCTTTCTTTGTCACTCCCTGTCTGTGAGGGGAGACCTACTGCACTTCTGTGCTCTCTCTCCTGCCATGATGCACCACACAAGCCAACAGCAATGGGGACAGCAGGATATGGACTAGAACTTGAAAATGATGAGGTAACATAACTCTTTTCTAAATTTTTATTAATTGATGTAATGACTCAAACCTTGGAAAACACAGCAATGTTTCCTTTCTATTTTATTTTCCATAAGTATATTTTTTAAAGTACAGATAGAAAATAAAGACTTGGGGACTATAGTTAGGAACAATGAATTGTGTGTTTCCAAATAGGTAAAAATACACCATAGCCGGAAGGGAGGTTTTTAATGCTTTTGCCAGAAAGAAATGATAAATATATATGGTGTGAATATGCTGATTACCCTGATTTGATCATTAAATAGTACATATGTATATCAAACTGTAACAATATACCTCATAAAAATGCATAATTATCAAAGGTTAAATAAAAATTAAAAAAAATAAATATGGAAGAACTTGGGATGGGGAGTGTGTGGGAAAAGAAATGCTGAGGGAAGTTCAAAGCAAGGAAAAGGAAGAGGAGAAAGATATTCCTGGGGAAAACTTACCTGTTTTGGTTTTTAAAACAGACAAAATTCAGATGGTTTCTCTAGAGTTTGTTTTCTTATTTTTTTTTGTTCTACCAGATTTATCAATAACATGAAACCAGAAAATATATCAGATACTGTAAAATTTGTTCTCCTGGGATTGTCAGATGATCTACACCTGCAGCCCATCCTCTTTGGACTGTTCCTGTCCATGTACCTGGTCACAGTGCTCAGGAACCTGCTCATCATCCTGGCTGTCATCTCTGACTCCCAGCTCCACACTCCCAGGTACTTCTTCCTCTCCAACTTGTCCCTGGCTGACATATGTTTCACCTCCATTACAGTCCCAAAGATGATTCTGAACATCCTAACTCACAGTAGGGTCATCTCCTATGTGAGCTACTTGACACAAATGTCTCTTTTTATAAATTTTGGATGTATGGATGACATGCTACTAACTGTGATGGCCTATGACCACTTTGTGGCCATCTGTCACCCCTTAAGGTACAATGTCTTCATGAACCCCAAACTCTGTTGGCTGCTTGTTCTCCTTTCCTTCCTCATCAGTATCCTTGATGCTCTGCTCCTCACCTCCATGGCACTGCAGCTGTCATTCTGCACAAACCTGGAGATTCCCCACTTTTTCTGTGAACTCAATCATCTTCTCAAGCTTGCCTGTTCTGATATCCTCATCAATAATATCCTGGTGTATTTGGTGACAGGCCTGTTGAGTGTTGTTCCTCTCTCTGGGATAATTTTCTCTTACTCTCAAATTGTCTCTTCTGTCCTGAAAATTCCATCACCTGGTGGGAAGTATAAAGCCTTCTCTGTTTGTGGGTCACACCTAATAGTCATTTCCTTGTTCTATGGGACAGGTTTTGGTGTGTACCTCAGTTCTACAGGTACTCATTCTTCCAGAAAGAGCACAGTAGCCTCAGTGATGTACACTGTGGTCACCCCCATGATGAACCCTTTTATATACAGCTTGAGGAACAAAGATATGCTGAGGGCTTTGTGGAAACTCATCACTAGAATAACATCTTTCCTTTCATGTCAGATGCTTTTACTACTGGAGCAAGTCAAAGAGAAATAAATAATGAATGATTTATAAAGGCTCTCCAGTGTCCTTGAATATAATTTAGCAGAGACCAAATGGTAAAGGATGAGAACTGTGTAATTAGACCACTTGAATTTAAATTCTTTCTGTGCTATACCATAGCTATGTATTATGGTTTAGATCTAAATTGCCCTCACAAAGGGTCATGTGTTAAGAGGTTGGCCTATTGGACCACAGGGATGCCATACTCAATAGAGGATTAGTTCCCTGAAGAGTTCAGGACTGAATATGCTGTTAGAAACCTGGGTCAGGTTGGAAGAGGCCATTCACTGGAGGTTTGACCTGGAAGGGTGCATCACCCTTCCCCGTTCCTTCCTTTATTCCCTGCTTCTTGGCTGCCACTATGTGAACAACTGTCCTTTGCCAGACCCTTCTACCTCTGCCCTTCCTGCCGTGGAACCACCTGACTATGGACTGAATCCTCTAAAGACTGTGAGCCAAAATCAATCTGTCCTTAAAGTTGTACATGTTGGTATTTTGTCCCACTGATAGGAATGACTAAGGAACTGTGGGTTCTTTGACAATTTATTTCAACTTGCTAAGTTTGCCTGCTCATCTGTAAAGGTAGATTAATTAGACTTAGTTCATAATTAATCTTGCACTGGAATGTAAAATTTTCATCAAAGATGAACTGGAATATATGATGGTAAGTGGGCTCCTAAATTATAATGGAGCTAAAAACTTTGTCACCTAATGATGCTGATAGCCATGGTAACATACAATACCATACTATACTCATGGCGATGGTGGTATAAACAAATCTAACACACTATCAGTTTTTATAAACATATGGTATCATGTACAATATCTGATACTTGATAATGATAGTACACAAATTTGTTCCTGGTTGGTGTATTTACTGTACTACACATTATTGCCATTTCACAATGTGATCCTCTTTGTAAGAAGTTTACTGTGCACCACAATGCCATGTCACCTGGTAACAGCGTCAAAAATCTTGTGTTTAGCATGCCTGCTGCATTATTTTCTCTGTCTATGATTTAATCTAAAATTCTGTTCATCATGATCACAAGAGCCATAAACTATCTATCATCTATCTATCTATCTATCTATCTTATA